CATTAATATAAGCATCCCCCAGTAATACATTCCTTGTGGGAACTCCCTGGTGGCCTCCCTGTGGAATCCCCTGCATCGAGAGTCAGCAGGGCTCGGACCCAGGCCTCTCCCCCGGTGGGGAACTTCCTGTGGTAATGGGCCTAACAAGTCCTAAGCTTTCTGCTGACAGTCTGGGTTCCTCATGAGCGGCACATGATTTTCCCATACTCCTTGGGGCTTTTACTGAATCATTGTCTTTTCCAGTTCTATCCGACTCCCCTGCTAGGGAAAAGTTTCCAGTGAGGGCAGTGTCCTTTTCTGGTGCAGTGACTCGGGTAAGGACACAGAGCGTCAGGAAGGGGAACAAGCATGGGAAGGGGGACCTGCCATACGCCAAGTCCCATGGAGACTGGCTGTGCAAAGGTCTCCTCCTTGAAGGACTGTGTCAAGCAGCAAGGATGGAACAGCTTCCTGCAATACACTACCTGAAAATATTTTTTTCATTTATTGCATACAATTTCATAGTTACAGGTTGTTCTGGGAACAACTGTGAATGTTCTGTGCAGTGAAAGATATGGACGCAGCCCCTGTTAATGACTTCAATGTAAATGATGGTAATCTTTTGTGGACTGTTATATTTTTTCAAATTTAGAAAAGTCAATTTCTTTTAAAGAAATTAAGTAACAAAATAAGTATCTTTTATGTTTTCATTGTAGTGCTTATTATTTTTTTGTGTAGATCAGGTTTTAGCAAACTATGGAACTGCAGACCATATCCTACCTGTAGTTGTTTATGCTAGTTTTGTGAGTTAAGAAAGCTTTTTATATTTGTAAAAGGTTATAAAAACCAACCACAAAGAAAGTACATGACAGAGACCATATGTGGACTACAAAGACTGAAATATTTGCTATGTGACCTATTTCCAAAAATGTTTCTTGGAAATACTGATACTTAAGAAGAGAGCTACAGAGTTTTTCAGTTATTAGGAGATCTCTCATCATTTGAGAAAAGCCATAAAACATTTTTACAAAATTAACATTTTATTATTGCTATGCAATTAACAAATAAAAGCTAACAACCACCAAAGGTATAGAAGTTATAGGATAGTACACATTTTAACAATTCCTCCATCTAATCTAAATAAGGATTTCAGTGTTAAAATATATGGTGACTTAATATTTGTATAATATTGACATATTTGACTCCAAAACTCTTTTGCTAACATATCTATCTATATTAAAAGCATGCAAGTGTAGTATCTTACACTCTTGGCAACAATGGATAATCACATTTTATTTTCTAATTGAATACAAATGTAAAGTTGTATGTGACCTACTTTTTTTAAAACTTTGTAATTATTTAATTTTAAATGAGATTCAACATCTTTTAATATTTATTGGCCATTTCAATTGCTTTTCTAAGTACTGACAACTTAAATTCTATATCTTTTTTCTATTGGCTTATTTCGCCTTTTACCGTAGTGATTTGAAAAACACTTTGCTTAAATAAACTAATTATAGCCATGTGTTGAACTGTAAATATTTTAATAGTTTGATATTTATTATTTTGTATGCATACATTTTATTGGAAAGTTAGAAAAAAGGTCAATATGATTTTATGAACTGGATGCCATATGACCCTTGAAGATTGAAATTTATTTTTATTTTAAGTCCACTACACATTTGAACAAATTTTGAATTTCTAAAATATCGGTAAGGACTTCAAAGTTAGTTAATAACAAAACCACATTTTTCCCTAGGTAAAGTTCTTCACCTAGTCTTTTATATCTACTTATACATTTTCTGCTGAAGATTAAAATTTAAGAGCTATTAACTTATATATTTATGTATTTGATACCAGTTAGTTTGTCAAATATCTATCTATGTGACTTAATATGTTTTACACTTATGTCAAAACAGTACTTCTTTAAGAATATACGCTATAAAGATTGAGTCATGAGATTAGTAATTCAGAGTTATCAGTATAGAAGACAGGAGATGGCTTTGAATTAGAATGTTTGGAGAAATCCTTTAAGAAGATGAAGTGTTTTTACCAAGTTTGGCCTCAGAAATTGAGGGAGAAAGTTCTACAAAGTAAACAAAATTTTCTTTATATAGTAGCATATATGTTATTATTTTTTCCTAATTTGGTGATGAGAGTGAGGATGTTGAAAATGATGTGTTGCTGGAGATAACATCTCCCTTGAAGATCCTCATGAATGACAATTCCACATGGTTTTTAGTAATACTACATTTTATTACTTTCCCAAATGGCTAGTCATCAGACCCCACATTAATTATTAAGTAATGCATATATTCGTCAACAGTATGAAATGCCCTTACCAAAAAATTTTTTTCCTTATTGATATTTGTTAAATGCAGAAAAGATAAGAGAAGATTCAGTAAAGCAGACATGTGAAGCATGTATTCTGAACAGTAAAGGACATCAGTATCTCTAAGACAGGAATTAAGATTATGAGGGTGGTAGCCATTTATAGATTTGTAAAAGATAGTGATACAGTTTCCTCTAGAGCAAGAAACAGAGATGTCTGTTGATAAATTAGTGAGAAGAGAAGGGTGATGATAATTCAAATGGATCATAAGTGAACTATTAACCATTCTGAAAGCATCACTTAGATGCTTAGAGACCAACTGTAACTTCTATGTTGATCAAGGCAACTGTAACTTCTATGTTATACAAGTGGTGATAAAATCATACCTCTGTTGAGGGAAAGCAGGGAGGGGGGTGTGGGCAGGGAGAGACTAATCAAAGAACTTATATGTTTATAAACATAACCCATGGACACAGACATTGATATGGGGAAAGCCTGGGTGTGGGATGGATGTGGGGTGGAGGGGACCAGTGGGGATAAAAAGGGGACATCTGTAATATTCTCAACAATAAAGATAAAGGAACATTAAAAAAAAAAAAAAAGAAAGAAAATATATGAGAACATTGCCATCTTCTCTCTAAATTCCCTTTTGCTACTTCATAGTCAACACTTCCTTCTCCTGCCCCAAGAAACCAATGATTTCGTTTTTCCCACAGTAGCTTAGTTTGGTCTACCCTAGAAATTTGTATAAATGGAATCATACAGTATGTATTTTATTGTGTCTGGCTTCCATTACTCAATATGCTGATTTTCACTGATGAGTAATATTCCACTTAACAAATATATCACAATAGGATTATCATTAACTTATTGGTGGTGATTTGCATTGTTCCAGTTTCTGATTATTGCGAATAAAATTCTGCCAGAAAAATGGCTCTTCAGGGTTTGTAATACTCAGGCATAATTAAGAACCACTGGACTACGTGGTTATTAAGATTCTTTCCATTAGAAAACTTGGTTTTATGGCTATCCAGGGAATGATTCAAGGAAAAATAATCAGCACTACAGTTTCAGCCTTACTTCTGTAACATAGATGTCTCACAATCAATTAATATCTATTTAATTGGCGTACAGTACCTGATCAAAACCAATTAAACTAACCAAATAAACAGAAAAAATAAAAATAAATAAAAAAGATGATGTTTTACCACCACTGAGAAGATATGTTGCCACAAGTAGATACATACAACACACACACACACACACACACTCCTTTCTCATAGAGAAAAACTTTTCAATGACGCAGTATAGCTTTCAGAATAAAGTTGAACAACTTGCACAGTGTCCATGGCCATTCTTCTATTTTTGTTATATTAAATGTGTTTGTTTAAAATTTAAGTATAGTTGGTATACCATATTATATTAGTTACATTAGTTTCCAGTGTACAACATAGTAATTTGACATTTTTATACCTTACAATGTGATCACTCCACTAATTCTAGTATTCATCATTTGTCACGATGAAAACTTACCACAATATTATTGATTGTATTTCCCTTCACATTTTCCACCTATACGCCCATCTCCCTCTCCTCTGACAATCATCCCTTTAGTCTTTGTTTCTATGAGTCTGGTTTTTTGTTTATTTTACTTTTTTAGATTCCACATATAAATAAAATCATATGGTGTTTTTCTTTCTATATCTGACTTATTTCACTTAGCATAATGCTATCTTGGTCCATCCATGTTGTTGCAAATTGCAAGATTTTATTCTTTTTTATTGCTAAGTAATATTCCATTATATAAATGTATCACATCTTCTATATTCATTCATCTATTGATGGACACTTTGCACTTACATTTAAAACAACATCAACAACAATAGCTGTGTAGTTACTTTAAACCAAATTCTCTAGTTTAAATCTCCTTTATCATCTGCCTGGCATGGGGTGCCCTTACTTGTTTGTTTATGCATTCATCATTCCTCAAAAATCAGACTTCCTAACTAAAACATACAACAAAACAAATACAGCTCTTCTGACTACTGCTTTAAGCTAGATTTCAATGCTTTATTCTCTTTGTTAATCTCACATTCTATGAGTATTATTACTACTTCTCCCCCCCATAAATGTAGGACTGCAAAGGCAACAAACTCATGAAACTTAAGCATCGTGTCAAATTTATCATTATGCTACTATTCTCTAACAACATTTTCAATTGTAAGTTTTTTACACTTGATGAATTAATAAAAAATAAATAGTGAAGGTACCAGAAAAAATATTGATGTGTAAAATGGAACACCTCATGATTTTTGTGACTGTATCTCCCAGAATGACTCTGGAAATGTGCTAAAATTTTTAGACTTATTGTGAATCCTCCTGGAGGATTCTTAGAGGAGGAAAGTTCAACCAGGGACTAAACAAAGAAAAGGAAACAATATAATTTCACTATTTTGCTCTTTCTATGTTTCTCACTCTCGTTGCTAAGGCAGAATCCACAACCTCCATGGATTGACAGCTGTCATGGGCTATGGTGATCTGAAAATTAATTATCATCCTGGCAAATTTCACAAAACTACTAAATAAAAGCTCAATTATCTCAAATAATATGAGTTTCATGTTGTTTGTTTTGAGTGATCACTACTATTGCATAAATAGGAAGACAGGTAGATATTAATCACAGTGGATTTTATAAACAAAACATTTTTATGATATGAATGCGGATCTGATTGGTCTTTGCACCATAGACAAGTGGATTGAGAAATGGAGGGATCAGCAAGTAAATGCTAGAAAAGAGGATATGGATATAAGGGGGGACATGAGACCCAAATCTATGCGTGAAGAAGGAGAAGAAGGCAAGGAGGTAGAACTGGAGGAAAACACAGATGTGAGCAATGCAGGTATTGAATGTTTTCAACCTAGCCTCCTTCTTAGGCAAACGAAAAACTGTGATAAATATCTGTGTATAAGACAATGTGATGAGCATTAAATCAAACCCTGCAACAGTGAAGGCCACAAACAAACCATAGATTTTGTTAAGCTGGACATTTTCTGCAACCAGTTTCACAATGGCCATATGCTCACAGTAGGAGTGGGATATGACTGTTGTATGATAAAACTGAAATTGGCATTTTATCAGTACGAGGTATGGGGCTACTAGAATGGCAGCCCTGAGGGTTACCACAGTCCCTATTTGGGTGACAAGCTGATGGGTAAAGATGGCAGCATGTCTTAGTGGATAACAGATGGCCACATAACGGTCCATGGCCATGGCCATCAGGATGCCTGACTCTATGCACTGAAATGTGTGGATGAGTCCCATCTGAAGCAGGCAGGCATCAAAATAAATCTGTGGTAGATGAAACCAGAAAATTCCAAGCATCTTGGGCACAACGCTGGTACTAAGTGCAATATCTGTGACTCCTAGCATGCCTAGGAAAATGTACATGGGCTCATGGAGGCTGCGTTCTGATATGATGATGATCAGAAGTAAGGAATTTCCGATTATAGCGATGAGATACATGGCACAGAATGGAATTCCAATCCAGCACTGCACAGACTCTAAGCCTGGGATCCCGATTAGTGTCAACATAGAAGGCCTGAAAACAGTGATGTTGGAAATGAGCATAGTATCTTTGGGCCTCCTGATGCAAACAAAAAAAATTAGTCAGGGCTAGTGTACTTCTTCTAATTCCTATTTTTACCCAAAGTCACCCTATTGAGCCTGTGTGTTTGGAGTAGAACTCCAAGATCATATAATCCATCTCAGTGATATACTGAAGGGAAAATACAGATCCATAGAATTATATTACTGTTTTCAGGAAGGGAGTCCACAGCACTGAATCACAATAAGATGTTATGTGCTTGGAAGGCCAACTGCATCAGAAGCAGCACAGTCTACTGGGTCAAGGAAGAAACTGCTGACCTTCTACCATTTCCTTTCCAGACCTGTGAACAACAACAACAAAAATTAGACTTGTTTATTTTGTTTGGGAATTGCATTTTAATCAGAGTTTGATGAATCTCTCCCTATTTGACATTGCAGCTAGCTTAACACTCTTATTTCCATTTGTCTTTAGGTAAGAGACAGTTGGTTTAGATCAGCAAATTCTCAGACTCCAACCAGTATATTCATCTAAAAGACTCCCTATGAAAGAGAATAGAGATGTAAAAGTTGATACCCAACAGCATAATATATTTATAATTATATATATCTGTGTCTATGTAAGAGTGAATGTTCTTTCAAAATAATATAAAGAAAATGTTTTAGAAAAAATATTCAAATCCATGCAGTTATGTCAATTTGGGGGTCAATGTTACTTGCTACTTTTTACATTGGTAGTAAAACTGTATTTAATGTTGCTTGTATTTCCGGCAACTAAAAATCCTTAAAATTAGGCTGTTTTCATAAAATTGCTCAAATTTTATAATACATACTATAGAATACCGAGAGGAGAGAAATCTCTAGGAAGCAAAGAAATATCATCAGTGTATAAGGGCAAGAGGACTCATACTGATGACTCAGGTCAGGAAATGGGTAAATGGGCAACTTAGCCAGAGTATGGGCTAGTTTCTTGAGTTTAAACTGTTCAGGGCTATCATTAGCATGAGATATGGACATTTGGGCTCATTAATTCTTAATGAACTATAATTAATTTGGAACACATGTATCATTTTGTGAGCTCAAGCATAAGAAATTAATAGAAAATAAAGGGTAAACAGGGAGGTTTCTTAAAGGGAGTCAAATGCTGTATGTAGAAACAAAAATGGAAAACAGAAGGCAGATGTCAGGATATGAGAAATGTTTCAGGAGAGTGGTATAGAGCAACTGAAAAGAATTTATTCACTTCTTGATTTGATGACTGAATTTTCTGAAAACTTGGGCTCTTATGACTTACATGAAAGTTCTCTGATCAAAACCATTACTTTTCATATTACATATTTAGAAGTAAGAAATTCTCAAGTCATACATTAAAGAAGTGTTTTTTTGATTCTGTGAAAAATAGGGTAATATATGTTATTTTACCTTTTTGTGAATTCTTCAGTAAAGTTATTTTATGTCAGCAAACTCATGATCTATTAATTGTATACTGAGTGTTGTGGAATATGCCAGTAATTGAAGAGTAGCTGTGGTTTATACAGTTAAACCTCAAGTGAAGGAATCAAGTCAGTAGGCATCCTTCTGTGACGGGAAGGCTCTTTTGGCTGACATATAGTTAGGATAGAATAGTAAGTCAGCTCAGTACTTTGATTTCCACAGGTTTGCTCTTCTTTGCTTAATTCTATGATACCCTGGTTCATAGATCACTGACTTTTCTAAAGGGGTAAAATTTTATTTCCCCAAATATAATCAGTATTGGAATAAAAATCCTTCAAGAACAATCACAGCATCTGACTTATTCCAGAGTAAAGAGGCGAGATGTGAGCGTTACCTGGCAGAACAGAGAGTGAGATGGCAGGCAGGAGAATTTGTGAGTACAGGACTGGTGGGATGAAGGGTTATTATTGGAAAAGCTGGTAAGGAAGAATTATGGGGATAAACTTGGGACACATAAGACTTACTGACCAATTGCAGTTGGGAGGTGCCTCTACTCTTGCCAGATGCCTGAAGAGTATTGTCAATTCCTCATATCACTATCACTGATCCTGTATCACACATCAACTCTTTTCTCCTCAGATGGCCTGTCTCCTGCGTTTATATTCTTCAACGTCTCTTCTTTCTATCTGCATCCTTTGTAATAGCCCCCGGTCAATGTCATGAACCCTAATGCACTGGCTGCTGCGGTCATCTGCCAGTACGTGGACATCTCTGGGGCAGCCTATCAGGCTTTTCTTCTGTCTTGGCAATACAGCCACTCTTCCTCTTCTGGAAGTTAGCTTGAGATCATGTAGGTGCTTTCATCCTCCAACAGAGCTCACAGCAAGGTCCATATTATTCAGGGGCACTGCATACATTTATCAAGGTCAAATTGAGGAGGAAAGCCGCTAGCCATCAATTTTAATGTTCCCTAGTGACTGCATAGAGAAGGAGCTGTGAACATGGCATGAGAGATTTTCTAGCCATTAGCTAAAACCATGAGGGACCCAGCAGATTTTAATTAAGGCCTTTGGGTTTATACAAACTTAATATGCATGAAATCATCTCTACAACTTGCAGTCATCTCCTTGCTCTCCCCTTTTCTTATTCCCCACAGGTTAAATGCAAAGAAATTAATATAGAAAAGTTTTCTTTTTTATAAGCTGAGTTATTTTTCTGCCAGTTTCATTTGCAAAAAAAAAAAATCTAAAGTCTTTTTATTTTTTTTTTTATAAATATATCTTTATTGATTTCAGAGAGAGGAAAGAAGAGGGAGAGAGAGAGATAGAAACATCAATGATGAGAGAGTCATTGATCGAGCCTGCAGCCCAGGCATGTGCCCTGACCGGGAATCGTGTCCTGACCGGGAATCAAACCCTGATCGCCTGGATCCTAGGTCAATGCTCTACCACTGAGCCACCCCCGGCCCGACTAAAGTCTTTTTAAATATAGGCATGTTCCTCCACCTGAATTCTACTTTATAACTTTAATTATGATGTTTTTGAACTTAAAATTAGGATATAGAGCTATTATTATCAGGCATTGTGAAAACTGGCTGTGGGATTCACACATTCATCAGATTTGGAAAAGTATGACTATAATAAAATATAAGTGCTTATCGAGCAAATTCTACAAGAAATTATGCTAATTGTTTTACATACATCATTTTATTTATTTTTTAAGCAACTTCTTTGTGTGATTTTGATAAATTTTTATAAATTATTTAGTTTCTCCATATGTATAATGAGATAAATAATACTATCTAATTTACAGTATTTTCATGGAGATAATCACCATTATCAAATAGCTTCTGAGCTACCTTAAAAAATTAAAGACTAAGCCCTGGCTGGTGTGGCTCAGTTGGTTGAACATCATCCTGCTCACTGCAAGGTCGCCAGTCTGATTCCTTGTCAGGGCATGTGCCCAGATTGCAGGTTCAATCCCCAATCAGGATGCATGCAGGAGACAACTGATTGCTGTTTCTCTCACACATTGATGTTTCTCTCTCTCTCCCCCTCTACTTTCCTCTCTTTCTAAAAATCAAGAAAAACATATCTAATTAACTTCCTTAGCATTTAGATTTTCCAATTCAATACCATAGTTTCCCCTGTAACACCTGGCCTACAGAGAAGAATGATCAGAGGGCTCTTCAAGGTTGTTGGGACTTGGCTCACAAATTAATTTCTAACTTTTGTGGTAAAAAATATATCTCTGGACCCTTCCAGGGTAGGTGAGTAGATCTGAAATGAAAAAGCCACTCTAACTTTTCAATCTCACAAAGCCTTTGAATCTGTTCCTCTGTATTAAACCAAAGCAGGTCTGACATTTCTAACTTACACACTGCAGATCACCTTTTCTGTTCATGCTTCAGTCAAACAAACAAACACACCGTTAGAACAGTTTCTAACTCCTTGAGCTACTACAGAAATGCTGAATTTCTGTTTAGTGGGCCCAGATCAATAATCTCAGCCTGATCCAATTTTATATTCTTTCCACCATTATTCCATACCATGAATATTCATTCTCACATATATTCTCAATATTTCTTTTTTTTAAAATTTTTTTCATATATATCTTTATTGATTTCAGAGAGAAGGCAGCAGAGGGAGAGAGAGAGAAACACCAATGATGAGAGAGTCATTGGGGATGGAGCCCGCAACCTGGGCATGGATTTTAGGTCGATGCTCAACCACTGAGCCACGCCTGGCCGGGCTATTCTCAATATTTCTGTCTGCATAAATTAGATAACTCAAATAGTTGTTTTGAATTATAGTGTGTCTCTTCACAGATTACATTCTGTACCTCACCCTTAACAGCATACTGACAAGAAGAAGAAAAAATCAATAAAAATATATTTTAAAAATGTAAAGACTGGGCTATTCAAAATATCATAACCCCTTTCCACTGGACTCAGTGCTTTCAAAGATAAACATATAAAAATAGAAAATTCAATAATTTGAGTGAATTAGATAAAAACAGAAAAGAGATAGAAATGATGTCACACATCACTTCGTACACTTACCATTTATTCTAAGACAGTAACCTCTGTTAATTGGTTTACTGAAAAAATCATTCAAAACTCTATGGTTTATTATGCTATTCACTATAGTTTGTGGAAAGTCAAATCATTTGGGAAAAAAAAAAAAAAAAAAAA